TGGGCGGAATGAAGACTGTAACCACAGCAGGCACAGTCACAAGGGTGGTTACAGAGACAGCTCAGTGTGTGAGAGTTGGTGGTACTTGGTGAGTGTCTTCTCCAGCTGGTGAGGAAGAGGGAAGCGTGAATGTAGCTCCCATGTTTTTGCCTCTGTTGACCATTTGGAGCGTTTCTTCACTTACTGATGTAATTAACATTAACTAAGAATATCACCCTGAAATAACAGGCGTATGTGCTGTTCTAGGAGCTAGCTCTACCACGCTCTGTACCAAATTGTTGGGAGATGATAATGAACAAGAAGTTAAGGTCCCTGTGTACCTTCTCGTGGGAGGGAGGGATTCAGATAGTGATGTGTCAGCAAGTAGTGAAGATCAACTGAGATACTGCTAAATTCTGTGAAGAAAATGCCTCAGAACGTGGGATTGAGAGTGATGTGAGAAATTTATTCTTTCCCAAAGAAAGAAAAAGAAGAGAAGAAATAGGGGAGGATAAGGGAAGAACAGGTTTCTAAGAGACGGTGCATCAGCTCTGGACTCGTTTTTGGAGATATTTGTGGGACTTCCAAGTATTGAAAGATAAACAGGCGTGCTAAAAACTTTAAAGGTATATTGAGCAGAAATCAGTTTGAATCTGGTGGCACCAAACCAGAAGAGAGGGTAGGATGCTCCACTGACTGGAGCCAGGGGCAAGACGTTTATAGAGAAAGCTCGGAAGCAAAACAAGGAAATCATTCGATTGGCTGTGTCCTCTGTGGCTGCCCTTACTTGGGAAATCCTGGCTGGCTGTTTGTGATGGATTGTCCTTTTCTTTCAGTTTCTTAACCTTGCGTCATTTATAGGCTCAGGTTTTGGTTTGCTAACGTTGGCTTCTAAGGTTAGAACCTCCTCGATCTAATGGCCTCCTTATTTAATTAATTGAACACAGGTCAGGATATCTAGCAGTCACTGGTGTGTGGGTACATATGTAACAGCTGGCTCTGGGTGGGCAGGGGATAGGTTGTTGATTTGCAGCTTTTGCCAATTTCCATGCCACAGCTGATTGCAAACAAACTCCTTCACAGCACTGAGCACGGCATGGGGAGAGATGTTAAGAGTTTTTTTCATGAGCAAATCAGAGGCAGCTCCGTTGTACCACAGCTAGTGGGTGACAGGAGCTACAGATCCTCCTTGGTTTATGATGGTGTTGTGTCCTGACAAACCCATCATAAGTTGAAAACATAAGTCAGAAATGCACTCAGTACACCTAACCTGCTGAACATCACAGCTTAGCCGAGACCGCCTTAAACGTGCTCAGGACACTGCCATGAGCCTCCAATTGGGCACCATCATCCAACACAAAGCCTGCGTTATAATAAAGTGTTGAATAGCTCATGTGTTGAACACTGTACCGGAAGTGAAAATCAGGATGGCTGTAAGCGTATTGGTTGTTCTCCTTCCTGATCGCATGGCCGACCAGGCACTGCAGTGTTACCAGAGAGTGTTGTACTGCGTTTTGCTAGATCGCAAAAATCTCGAAATTCAAAATTCCAAGTACAGTTTCTCCTGAGTGCATCTCTCTTTCACACTGTCATGATGGCGAAAAATTATAAGTTGAGGACCATCTGTGTAGGTTTGGAGTTCTGGATAGTGAATGACTAGGAATAGAGATTTGGGCACAGAGGTGAGAGGTGAAATTCCAGGAACAGAGAGATTTCTTAGAGAGATTGTGTAGCATGAAAAGGAAGATGGCCAGTGTTAGAACGCCAGGACTGTGCTCTCGAAGAGTGGTTCCCCCACCGGCAGCAGCAGCAGCAGCCCCATCTGGGAGCAGATTCACAGCCCATCCCACACCGATGGGAGTGAGTGAGGGTGGGGCCCACTCCTCCGTACTGTTTGAGGTTTAGGAAGCTCGGCCCTGCAGATCACCTAGCTTTAAGAGCCGGTTAGCAGAGGGACACCTAAAGGATCCAAGAAGGGATGTTGATGTTGAAAGGGGTGGGGCTGAGCACAGAAAGTGGAGTCTTCCAGCCAAGGGTGGAGAGAGCATCAAGACAAAGAGAGTGGGCAGCAGGGCCGGGCCACTGGAGGGCAGGTAGACTAGATGGACAGTAAGTATCCGCTGTGTTTGAAGAGCAGTGTGGGCCAGAAGTAGGTTGTAATTGGTGAGGAGTGAGTTGGCCACAGTCTACACTGGTTAGGACCTCTGGTTGTAAAGGGCACAAGACAGAGATTAGGGACTAGAAGGAGATTGTGGTCGGTCTGGGATTTCTGGAAAAGGCCTGGGTACTTTTGTGGGCTGAGGGGAAGTAGAATTTGGGAAGGTCAGGAACTGGTGAGAAGAGGATGGGACACTTGATACTACACACTGGAGATGAGAGGAGGGGAGGAATGAAGAACTTGGGATACAGCCTGGCCTTGAAGAAGTTTCCTTATGGGGTCTTGTCTTCAGAGGCTGAAGGGAAGCAAAGATGGGAGAGGGTTTTAGTGGAGAATAGCAGAGGCTGAGTATTGAGGGAGAAAATGCTCGGTGGACTCTTCTCAGGGATGTTCTGTTGATTTTTTTAACCAAAATACACAAAATACTGTAATTTCAACATGTAATCAATATAAAAATAGGTGATGATATAGTTCCTTTTTTTAATTGAGCAACTTTATTCAAATACTGTCTATACTAAGAATGCAGAGTCATCTCAGTGGAACCAATTTCACTGAAATTTGCTTTGAAGGACAGATAAGTGAAGTAAGTTCTTACATATTCCTGAGAATTAAAAAAAAATACACAAAAAATAGGGGAAAGAGGGAAATATTCCAAAATAACTTGGCTATAGATTTTCAGTTTTGAGTTTTTCTAACACAAAATCATCAAGCGGAAAACATTCTTTTTTTCCTATTCCATCCTAAATTCCAAACTAGCCACATTTTAAGTGCTCAGTAGCCAGGCTGGCTAGTGGCTACCATATTGGACAGTGCAGATCTGAAGGGTCCACTGAGTGCTACACAAAATCAAGATGTGCCTTGTTCTTAGGAGGTGACAAAGACTCTCTCTTTGACCAAACTCTAGTCAGGCTCCTCTGAGCTCTTTTTCAGCTAGGCTCTGTCCTTGCGTATGTCCTCAGGATCCAGTTTTACCAAGAAACTTGTCAAGTCAGTTTACAGAGAATCCTCCACCCTTGGTATTTGATCACCCTTAGCAGCTAACCACAAATCCCTCACGTCTCACCATCCCCTAGGTAACACCTGACCCCCCGCCTGCCTTCAGCAAGAATTCTGTGAGTTCAGCTTAGCAGAGAATTAATTATCTACCTCCCGTAGTCATTTTGTCTCCACTCACAACCACCCACCCCCATTTTTTAGCCATGCATGCTAGTATTGTCCTGGAACCTCCAAGAGAGGAAAGGTCCCTCCCATTGTCTCTGAAAGTTCCAGAGCCTCAGTCAGTGCTGCTGGAGGAGAAATGGAAAAAAAAAGAATGAAACACAAAAACAAAAACAAAACTCTTAGACCAATGACTGTGTCAAGAGAAAAAAGGACATTAAGAAAAGTGGCCATTTAAAAATTTTTTAATTAAAAAAAGTTTTTTTATAATTTTTTATTGAAGTACTGTCAGTTACAATGTGTCAACTTCTGGTGTACAGCACAATGTCCCAGTCATGCGTATACATATATGCATTGTCATATTAAAAGTAGCCGTTTAACTTTGAAATGACAATTATTTTCTTAGCCCATATTGTATGACATTACACTGTGAAAGAAAAGAAAAATGCTCACTTAAATATTACTAAAATTAAGCATGTGCAGATTTTGAAGGAGTACGGGTGTAAAAAAACTTAAACTGTGTTGGACTTGCCAGAATGGATGGTCTCTGCTGTCTGTTCTTCTGGAGGAATGAAAAGAGCCCTCAGCACTGAAGGCTCTGCCACCAGCAGGTCATCTAACTTTGCTGGACCCCAGATTCGGCACCTGAAAAACCTGGTTGGCTTTTGTGGCCCTCAGGGTCGTTCCCGCATCTGTATTCTCTGAGTTCTTAAATTCAGGAAGCCCAGTAGATTTTGGGTCAGCAGTGATGACGGAACCCTTGGCACCCTAATTCCCCACAGGACCGCAGGTGTCATTCAGGCAAGGAAGCCACCCACTGTGTCCTCCTTCTGGTTTTTGACATCTGTGCCGTCCTGTTTCCCCTTCTTGTCCTTGTGAATTTCAGAAATTAACACAAATATACCTATAGGGGAATTTATGGTTGGAGCAAGTAACTTAAAAATGCATGAAGGAGTGCTTAAAGGAAGTATTTTTAGAGGAAAGTAAAGGACATATTTGATCGTAGTAATGGATAATCCATCTCCTACAGCACAGCACAGCCAATTGTCCTTTAAAATTGAGAGGCAGGTTTCAGGGATATAGTAGTCAGTTCTGTCGTCAGCAGCAGCTAGGTTCAACAACAGCTGCTGTAGGTAGTCAAGGAGCAGCGCAGTCGGAGCTTAAAAGGACCAAAAAAGGTAAAGTTAATGGGATAGAATTTTTAGAACTGAGAATTAGATCTTAGAATTTGCATTTTTGTGGATCAGGTTACGTAGAAGTGGTGAAATATTCTCGTGGATAACGTTGTCAGTGCCTCAAGTTTTCCCTTCTTCAGACCCGGAATTTCTAATGACACAGCACATTGCTCCAGTTCTGAGAGGCTCGGGCACGCCTTGATCTTCGGAACCCTGCTTATGACTGCTTTCTTTCAAGGTCAGCAGTGTTTGAGTTGTGTGTTTGAGCGTCTGCAGCCACTTAGCCTTAGAGCTTGAAGTCTAAAACTTCACCTCTTGTGTGAACTATTAAAGAATTGTCACCAATTGCCGCGACACATGTGTCACAAAATAGTGAACGCTGTCTCAAGAAAAGTACATGATATTTGTTTTGACTTTTCAATTTTTTAATGCGCTAGAAATCACTTTCATACATATAAATGCGAAGTATACATGGAATACAGATACGTGGCTAGGATTAGCTATGACTAATCCTATAACCATGGAACACATGTTTTGAAAAGAAAAGTATATTGTTTCTCAATAATTAGATCTTGCTTATGGCCTTACTTAACATTCCCAATCTGGAAAAAGAAAAATGGTTCCAAGTTTTTATGCAAAGCTTTCAGGATATATTCCTAAAGGGATCTCAGTAACATTTTCCTCAGCCTTTTTTGAAAACAAGCAGAATGAGGGTCCCTGGTAATGGGTGACTTGTAGGCAGTGAAGGACCGAGCTATAAAAATGTTTGAGTCTCCAGTGTCCAGCTGCTCCCTGACGGCAGAGCGGTGGCACCTCAGAGGAAGCCACGTTAGCCAAAGGAACACATGGACCCACACTGGTGTGCTGACTTCTGAGTTGAGACATCTAGATGACCCAAAGAAAGACTTTCTGGCAAAACAGTATCCCTCAAAACCCAGTTATTTATTGACATCCCCTCTTTCGCTGCTCCCTCCACCCCTTTTTGTTGTTGTTGTTAAGTAAGGGATGTTTTTGCTGAGTGGCTGTGCGTTTCCAGCACAGACGCGCCTCTCGGCTCTGGCAGGTGCTGCCCGTCTTGATCTCCACCCCCGAGCCCCTCCTGTGAGCTGGAGATCTGATAGCCCAGGCTGAGTTTCAAGCCCTGCCGTCCTTCGGTGGGGTGCCCTGTCATGCCAGGAAAAAAAAAGGGGGGAAGAGAAAGGGGAGGCTGGTCTAGGTGAAGTCATCCCAGGAAAGGTTAATCGCTGGGTGGTGACACCTTCTCACACGACTGGGCAGAAAATGCTGGGCAGCCAGGCAGCGCTTGCTCCCAGCTGCCTGTCACGGTCCCAGGAGGAAGAGGTGACCTATTTATTTTTAGAAGGGGACAGTCCTGATAACCCGGCTCTGAGCTTCATTCAAGGCAGGCAGGCGCTTCAGACATTTGTAAACACCTACTTTCTGAGTAAGGGAGGAGCGCTTTTCTCCCAAAAGGAAAGAACTTGACTTACTGGGGTATTCCCCCTCCTGACAGTCACCGTCAGCGAGGAGAAGAAACCATCTCCACTTTGTTATTATTTCTTTAAAGGGCAGCAATGCCTGAAGGTGAGGACTTTGGACCAGGCAAAAGGTAATTATGATATATATTTACTTTTTCTGGAGTCTATTTCATTTACTAATTATCTTTTAAAAAATATTATTGACTAATGTAAAAGGCAGTTGAAATTAAAATTAAAAAAATAGAAATGGAATTTTCTTTAGCATGAAGAGAGAGACAAAAAATTAACTGAATATATTCTTAGAAATATATGCTATTGTTTTTCTTGAATGAGGAAGTGATGGCCTGAAATTATTAAAAAGTGTTTCCTCTTATGCCCTGTAAAGTCTCCTTGAATTTCTTGATGTTTGAGTTTTAACTTTAGATGGTAGTCGTTAGAAATCTAAGCGAGTGAACATTTTGTAAAATGCTCGCATTTTAAAGACCTGTTGAACATTTGTAAAGGTGAACTCTTAGACCAATATATTGCAATAGACCATTTTACTATTGCAATGATTTTTTAACCACAGTTTTTACCTTTGAAAATGTGATCCTTGGGGCTCCCATATGCAGTACATGAGTTGTGTCGATGTTTTTATTAGTAATCTGGCTCTAAGAAGGGGGCAATAGAGGTGACAAAGGAGGCAGGCGATTATTTCTGTTAATATGAGCATAACTATGTCCACATTGAAAGTTTCCATTTCTAGCCCCACTGCTGTGTTCACAAAAGTTGTATGAACTGGTGTCACTGGAATTCTCACTAGGGTCACTGAAATTTGGAGATGTATATATATATGCACATCTACTATATATATATATATAGTAGAAAGAAAGCTGTTTAAAAAAAGAACAAGAGGTTATTGACGATTTTATTGTCAAAGAAAGTGGAAACTGGTAACTCTCAAGGAATAGGAACACCACAGTGATTTTTCCGTCCTTGTGTGAGCATCCCTTTTCAGCCGTGGTTGTATAGTGTGTGTGTGTGGACTCTAATCAGTTGTAATCGTTTCCTTAAAAGCTACTTTTCTCTTTAGTTTCCTAGTTTTCATTTTCTTCCAGATTCCTTCCCAGTCCATCAAAGGGGATGTTAAGTTCACATTTCATTGAATAACGAACGAACTTTCTATATAAAATGAAACATTAAATCAACTGCTTGAAGATGATGTTCGTACAAGTGCCTAGAGTTAGGACATGGACTAATTAAATAGCTAAGAAGACGTTTTCAGAGAAGGTTAAATGCCAGTTAGGGTTTGAGATGATGGGGGCTCTACCAGTATTTATGTGTCCCCTCATGACATTGTAACATTTCTGAAAGCAGGCCTTTCTCTTTTTCACTTTACATCATGGCTTTCCCACCAACTCTCTGCATAGATGTTTGCACAGAATAGGTATTTTTAATAAATACTTGTTGAATGGAATGTATTTTTAAACCACTTTATATTTAGGGGACAGGCTGAAGGGAGAGATTTGGCAAAAATGTAATAAGGGTTGCTTAATGAAACATAACATTATCACAGTTAAATTAAAGAGTAATTAAGTTAATTAATTATAGACAATTATAAATATTTTGAACTAACAGTTTGTGATGTAAACTAAACAGACCAGTTTTTTCCTAAGAATATTGTACTGGTTACAAAAGATAAACAGATAAGAAGGCATATATATAAAAATATATATGGATGTATGTATATAAAATAGGCACATATCTAATCATTATTATTACCAGAAACCAAAAATACATTTGCTGAAAGTGAGAAGCATCTCACTCGTTTGAAGTAGGGTACCCCTGCCCCCACTTTTTCATTCTGATGAGGTAACTCCCGCTCTCAGCAGTTGGTGATTTTCTATAGAATATGCTTTGCCCCGTGCACTTGCTTTTCTTCTCCCATCTGTGCAGGAAGTTAGAAACGGCACCCTAGCCAGGGGGAATGTTTAGAGCCAGGCTGGAAGTAAAATATCATACTTGTGAGGGAATTTTCCTCTTGCTAAATTTGAGATTAAATGTCACTGGACAACTCCCTCGTGCAAGCCATGCCTGAAAGAGAAGTAACTATTATAAGGCTCCTATCTGCTGACAGAACGTGTTCTTGGAGCTTGATTGTAGCAGGTTCTGGTTGAGGCTCACATACGGGCTTCTTCATGTTACTTCTGTCCTGTTTTGGAATCTGCTGACCCGAACTGCTCTGTAACTGGCTGCGAGCTAACTCTGCGTTTAATCAGTGGGAACCAAGTACTGGGCCGCTGCGTTAGGGCTCCCGCACTGTGCTTCCCGCACCGCCTGCGTGGCCGGCCTCCTGCGCGGTGGTCCAGCGTCTCTGACGCACGGTTTCATATTCACCAAATGGATGAGCGTGAACACAGCTGTGGGGTGGGGGCGAGGAGGGAAGCAGAGGAGAGCCCCTCCTCCTGGCCGTTTATCTTGTTGCCAATAATGAACTCTCTTGGTAAGACCCTCCGGAGACTTTGTGCCAGTGTCAGGGGTCAGGAGATGAGGGGAGAGGGTGTGAAAGAATGCCATGGAGAGGAGGAGAGGGGAGGGGAGGGGACTGCTCAGTGGTAGAGCACATGCCTAGCATGCACGAGGTCATGGGTTCGATCCCCAGTAAGTCCGTTAAATAAATAAATAAACCTAATTACCCCTGCCCTCCCCCACCAAATGTCATTCCTGTGCCAGATCAGGAAGGCAGAAGCCCAAGCAGGCAGCATCCGGTGCCGAAGAAGAAGAAAGTAGAGACAGCGACCCGGGAAGCAGACAGGATCCAGAAATGTGAGGAAAATTATACCCAGGCCAGACGTCTGCTTCTTCATCCCACCTCATTTCGGGTCCCACCTGAGTGGAGTGGATAAGTGAGGCGATGCCTCTTCCAGCTGCCCTGAAGCAGGGGGATCCTAGGCTTCCAAGACCGGGCCCTGAATGTGTCTCATCTCAGCAGCACCTCCACACAAGATAACTACGTCCCCGCGTCCCCTGGCTCGCTTGGGATGTGTTTATCAAGCTGCATCCAAGCCAGTGGCTGTGCCTGGTGATGGGGTGATGGTCTGGGCCTCCGCTTCTAAGGAGCGCACAGTCTGAATGGGGGAGGCCGGCACAAGTTAAAAAGAATAAGTAAAGGGTATTTCTGATCAGAAGGACAGAAAAGATAAAAATAAAAATGGTAATGTGGGGAATTACCTGAAAGAGTAGTTAAGACGTGCTCTCTGCAGACGTGCTCTCAGAGCTGAGACTAGAAGGGGCTGGTCGTGTGAGGTGTAAGGAGAGTGTACTGCACGGAGAGGACTGGGCTTGGGTGGAAATCCTGAGACGGCCTCTTAGGAGCAGAAAGGCAGGAAAAGAGAGCCGTGACTAGGAAAGGGGGTGGCCAGGCCCACAGTGCCTCACGGGCCGCAGTAGGAGGCTGGATGTCATTCCAGGGTATGAGAGGTCCTGAGCGAGCGGCTAGGGGCCGTGGGGCCACCTCAGTAAACACTTGAGAGACATACCGAGGTAATATGTGCTCTCATGAATTGGATCTTAGCACCATTTATAACGTCTCATGGAAACATGGATTCTGAGGTGTGATAATGCTAATAACTTTAGGAGCATAACTTGAGTTTGTACGTTGGGAAGTAGCTGGATAAGCATTTCAGAAATCAGTATGAAGGACACATCGAGAAAATCCAAGGAGAAGGGCTGCTATCCTGGAAGCCACAGAGCAGTCTGGGATCACTCCTCAGGTGACGGGTACCTGGGTCCCCCACGTGGGGGTGTAGACCTGTCCTGGGTACTTGGACTCACGTCAGGGCCTTTACTTTGTAAGAGAGAGAACAGACAGAGAGTCTGGCCCAGCGGTGTGGGCTCTGAGTGTGTGACAGGCTCTGGTATGGGTTTTTTGGACAAGTGTCTCAGAAGTCCATGGGGAGGAAGGATGGGCCTGGTGTCCTGCCAACCACGGGACAGGGGAAAGGACACTGAGGGGATGCCCTCTTGGAAACTGCAGAGAGCAGTTGTTTTCCACATTGCTCAGAAGCATCTGCTTATGCTTTACCCAGATTTAATATTTCCTGCTAAGTAGACTATTACCAAAAGAGCAGTGTGCAGTTTTAGCATTTCAGAAGCAAACCGCTGGCTGCTAATGCAGGGCTCTCTGAAGTTGGCCATCTGACTTTTCATATAACATAGTGAAGATTCAAAAGTTTGCCAAAGGCCACTGAGCCTCTAAAGCTGGAGCTCTGTAGTAGGAATCTCAGCTACCCACAGGCCTGTCTGCTCTGCTAGGAGTGGGGAGGATGCTGTACCTTTGGGTTCTGGATATGCCCAGGGCTATTGTATTTGAGAAAACCAAAGCTTTCTAAAAGCACGTGGCCTCTTTAGTATTTGCAAATGGCATTAGCAATTTTATTCTTGGAAGATTTAAAAAAAATTGGTTTAAATATATTCTTTAAGCTAGATGTTTTTAATAATCCAGGTTGGCCCAATTATAGACTTAATTTTTCCTTGTTGATGAAGACTATGCTTTGATAATACTGTTTCTTTAAAATATACAGTGAGGCTAAGAAAAGCCTCACAAAGAAGTCTGACCAGCACGCCCCAGCTCTGTGTGCCTGGACCTTCAGCTGAGGTGGGTCCCCACATATTGCAGCTCTCCTATGCCTGCAGAAGTCCTCGTGTTGCCATTGGTTTTGAAATAGTCACAGAGAGGTGTGGTGAATAAACAGGGTTCACACAGTCAGTAAGTAAAGGAGTAGCTGTTTGAAGGCAGGCTGCTGACCCCTGCGCCTGTGCAGTTAGACATGTCTTCTGTGGCAGGTGTGTGGTGGTGATGCGCTCCGTGGGCTTGACGCTCAGAAAATCCGTCTGGTCAGGTCGGGACGCGAAGAGAAAGGAGAGGGTGGCTGAAGGTGAATAAGAGAGGTAGGGGAACCCCTTCTTGGGCCTTGTAGGCAGTGGTGTGTTGGCAGATATTGAACAACCGGCTCTCTGATCTTCAGCATTCCTTGATTCCTCTGGTGTAAATACTCCCGCTGTGGTCCATTTCAAGCCACCTATGAAAGTGGGGTTTGGAAGAGATGCTCGAAACTGGTTCTTGTGAACCCGCAGGGGCCAGCCCCAGCAC